AGAAAGAAAGAAAGAAAGAAAGAAAGAAAGAAAGAAAGTAAGTCAACATCAAGAAAAGGCACTAGGGAGGAGGGTGGGATGGGTTAAGGTACAAGGTACAAAGGAACGCTTCTTTGCAGGGAGGGGAGGGGAGGAGAGGACCACACCCTCTCTGCTTAAGGAAGACAGGTGGTTACTGGGGTAGTTATGATAAGGGAAGTACAGCTGAATCTAGAAACATGTGCCCTCCCTGTTGGGATGAGCACTGGGTATTGTTGTATGGAAACCGACTTGATAAATTATATTTAATATAAAAAATTAAAAACTAATAAAAAAAAATAGAAACATGTGCCCTCTGCTGGGCAGCTGAAGTTAGGCTGATGACTCAGAAGCCCCCACCACCTCCACCTGGTGGTTGGAAGGATAGGGTGTGAGGATAGGGGGTGAGCCCAGGGGGCCGGGGAGCCCGAGGCAGCAAAGCTAACACAGGGTCAACCTGGCCAGCAACAGGCACAGTATCTTTGCCTCACTCTTTTCCTTTCCAAAAAATTAAAGGCAAAAATAAACATATTAATTGGCCAATTGTGTAAAATCATTTTCAATTTAAACTGTTTAGATACTAGCTCTGGGGTAACGAATAGCCTGCTGAAAACTAAATTTCATTTTATGTTTTTTGACTGGTGAGCGTAATAATATTTAATTCACTTAATAACCTTGCAACCTGGCCAATAAAGAGCCCAAGTGACCAATTTTATGTATTTTAATTTGTGAGGTAAATAATAAACAAGAAGCTAAATGCCTTGCAGACTGTGAAAAGCACATTAACCAGATGAATGTCTTTTATTAGCAAATATGGGGATGGTTTAGGGCATGCTGGCTGCTCATTTCAAATATTTGATCTCTGATCACAGGCTTTCCTGAGTCAGCCCATATGCTGCCACCATGATTCATGGACCCACCCTCCTTGGCCTCCCTGGGGGAACATTTCTTCTTCCCTTTGAAAAATCACACAAGGATTGGGAGCCCCCCCCCCCCCCCGGTCTGGTCAGGGCCAAAGTAATCAAACTGTACCTGGACTTGAGATGAGCTAATATTTACAGTGACACCAGTTATAAGGTAAGTTCTGGGGAGCGGTGGCTTCCTGAAGGCTAGAATAGACCCAGGGTGGGAAGTTAGAAACCCAAGGTGGGGAGAAGCTCATGGCAACAAGACGCCATTTTCAAGAAGATGTGTGGGAGCAGTCAGGAGATGCCTGGCAAGGAGTCAAGATGATGTCCATGGGTCATGGAGGTTTGAGAAATCACTGGTAGGAAAGTTTCAGAGCAAGGAAGGGGAGAGGAGCCATCAAGAACTCTCAGTCCTGGGTGCACCTCCTGAAATGGAGAGAGAAGTTTAGCACAACACTCTGGGTAGACTCTGAGTGGCTCTGGATGAAGTGGACCCAAAAGTGGGTCAGATCAAAGACAGAAAAAACTTGTTTCCTGGTGATCAAAGGACTTGAGGCAAATAGTTGTGGTTTCACTGGGAGAACAACTAGAAAGAATTCTGAAGTTATGAATAGAATGTTAGCTCCCACCTGCCCCCAAGGCATATGTTGAAGTCCTAACCCCCAAAGTGGTTGTCTCTGGAGGTGGGACTTGGGGAGGTAATCAGGGTTGATGAGATCATGAGGGTGGGTCCCCCATGATGGGATTAGTGCCCTTGTAAGAAAAGGAAGAGAGATGAGAGCTCTCTCTCTCTCTCTCTCTCTCCACCATAGGAGGACACAGTGAAAAGGCCACCATCCGCAAGACAGAAAGAGAGCTTTCACCAGGAACCGAATCTGCTAGCAGGCAACTTGATTGTGGACTTCCTACCCTCCAGAACTGAGAAACAAATGTGTCTCGTTCCAGCCACCCAGCCCATGGTATTTTGTTACAAAGACAGTGTCCATGGGTGGCCCGGAAACAGATGGTGCATAATCCATGTCACCTGTCTCTGTCCAGCAGTGGGCAGCCTGAGCTCCCACCCACCTACACTAAGTTTGCAGCTCTGGTGGGAATGCAGAGTGGGGAAGGGCTGCAGCGGGTGGGCAGGGGAGGCCTTGACCTCCAGGCCATAGAGCCTGGAGAAGAAGCCCCACTGCCCCGACTGGGAGCATCAGAAGGAGAGAGGTAGCCAAACCAGCGTGGAGAGTGTCACTTTGGGAACGCAAAGCTTTGGGCAGAGCTTGGAACAAAAAAAGTGCACCTGTCGCCTACCTCACTGTGTTTGGTCTCCCCGTATCTGCCGTTGGGGTTGGCCAAGTGGCAGTTCTTATACCACCAGCCACCATGATGTGTCAGGGCACAGTTGCTGAGGGCAATATCGTTGTCTCTGTCAAAAGTTGTAAACTTCCATCCGTTGTGGTAAGTAAGAGCATCCCCTGCGGGAGAGGAGAGATGAGGGGTGAACGGTGAAGTTCGGCCGCTGAGATGGTGATGGAACTCTGGGCTCAGCAGGACAATCTCTGGGCATGAAAACGCCAAAGATCTAGCCATTTATGTCACAGGTAAATCACTCGTCTCTGAAAACGGCCAAGGTGAGGACATGATACAGATAAAGAGATTCTCCTTCCTGGCCTGTCACCCAAACTTCAGGCCTGTTTCTCCAATAGCTTCCAACAGCTTGCTCCCTTCCAGCATTTTCACTCAGAGGCTACACAGTCACGTAAAATAACCAAACATCTGAAACCAAACTCGTCGGCTCTCCTCCCAGCACCTGACCACCCCTCTCCCATATTCCCTGCCCTCACTCAGCCATCCTCTTAGCCACCCCAGCCTCGAACTCCGAGCCACATTTGCCAATCCCATGTACCCCTCTATGGAGCCCTTCTTCCTGAGGATCACTCACAGATGGCCTCACTCCTGGGGCTGCCACACGGCCTGCTCTCCTCTCCTCGGGCCTGCATCAACACGACAGCCCTCCCGGCCTTCCTGAAGCATAAGTGTCCACTTTCATGCTCTCAGGTCAATGTCCTTCCCACCACCCACCACAGAGAAGGAGCCGCTCCTCCTTGCTTGGCTTTGCAGCCTGTAATTTGGCTTGTACCCTTCGCACCATCTCCTGGCCCGCTGTCCCCACAGGCACACACGGCTTGTGCAGCAGACAGGTCTGCCCTCCATGCCTCTGCCCTCCCCGGTCCAACTCCTAAACACCCCTCAAAGCCCAGCTGGACCCCACTCCTGAGGAAGGGTCGGTCTCCTTAATAATCCTCCCACACCGCCTCCCAGCACACACTCCCGAGTTTCCCAGGCCCTCCTGGCACATATATACAGTTCAGTGCTTCATTACATCCTGTCTGGAAATCCGCTTGAATCATCTGACTTGTATTTCTACCATTTCCCCCATGGTATGTACCATCTTTGTATCAGTTTAATTCTTAATTCAGCTCATAAAAGGTGACAAGGGCCTGAATCAATCCTAAGTTGTGTTCCTATCATGACAACACTTAGGTTTTCATCTGACCCCTGAGCTACCGACCACCTTCACATCCGTATCCTCCCCCTCTGTCCCCACGACAGCCTACAAGGTGGGCCAGGCAGCCGGCAGTCCCATGAGGAGACAGACTCACAGAGGTTAGACTCTGGGGACTTGTCAAGGTCCCACTGTCCCCAGATAGTAGGGCCGGGACTCAAACCTCAGTCCTCAGATTCCCAGTCCAGGGTCCTCCCTGACACACCAACTTGCCTGCGGCTGCCTTATTTCAGTAGAGACCTTTAATTACTTGAACCAGAGCAGGCCGTCTCTGGTTCTCCCGGTGTGGCCCCTGGACCAGCAGCATCAGCAGCACCTGGGAATTTGTTAGAAAGGCACATTCTCAGCTCCACCCCACCCCGGATCCACAGAACCAGAAACTCCGAGGCAGTACCCGCCTGCAGTCTGCATTTTCACAAGCTCTTCTGAGGACAACAAGCCCTTCAGAACGTCGGTCTGCAACTTCCTTCATTTATTCAGGAAACATGAGAACACCTGCTGGGCCCAGCACCACGCTCAGCCCTGGGAAAACAGATGGAGGAGATCCCCACCCTCAAGAACTTAGTTGGGGGAGGAAGGGGGCAGATGTATGTAAAGAGTTAACAACACATTATGAAAAGGGAAGGTCCCAGATTGTCCCAGATTGTCCGTCTGACTTTGCAGCTTGAACAATGGCTCCTTGATGGCTTCCCCGGCGAAAGCAGGAGAGTGAGAGCAGGGGACACAGGCCATTCCTGCTAAGACAGCTGAAGGGCCCCTGCCCCCAAGAGTTTCCTCCAACTGAGGAAAGGCGTGTAGTCGCTGGATTCATACACATCTCTCTCCCCTTCAGCTCTCTAGCAGACAGTTAACTACAGCTTAAAATAACACGCGATGGCTCCCTTGGTGACACTCTTTTAATGAGCTCAGCTTACCGAATGCGCGTCTAAAGTTCCCAGAGCTGTTTCCTAAGAATCTGTGCGGAGGCTGTTTCTTAATGATTTGTTCACAGTTATCGAACCTTAGGCACTGGGATCAAGGAAAGCGAAGCAGGTTTCGGACTAAGTGTGGCAGTTTATTCCATGATGGATTTGCTCCCTTCCAGAAAATGAAGCCATGCTGATGTTCAGAGCATGGACAGCGAGGATAGTCATGAATCAAGAAATTGCTTTGCTCTGGTCGTCAGTCCCCAGCCAACACGGTGTTCTGATCTATTAAGCTTATCTCCCTAAGTAAGATAAAGTAGAAAAGCCAGTGGTCGTCAGACCCTCTCTCTTCTATCAGAGTTTGAGGAGAAAACATTGGATGAGAAATAAGCAGCCTTAACTTCTAGTACAATGGCTTTGGGTGGGCGGCTGGCTCCCCTCAGGAGGTGCGTGTGGGGTTGGTGGCGACCCCATAAGAGCCCTGGGTGGGGCCGCTGAGCTGGTTATCACCCATCTTGTCAAAACATCACTCCAAGATCAGCTCTCCTCCTGCACCTCCTGAGTCGGGAAGGATGACCCAGGCAGCTGAGCCGCCTCAGACCCCAAGAAGCCATCGACATCACATCCCTTTTAAGTCACACAAGACTGTCTGGACCTTGAACCCTGGGAACAGGAATGGGCCCATGGAAGTGGATGTGTGCCATTTCTAGCTTTCCCTTGTGTCCACGAACCCAACACTTGTTTCGCCTTTAAGTACCAGTATTTAAGGGGCGCCTGGGTGGCTCAGTCAGTTAAGTGTCTGACATTGGCTCAGGTCACCATCTCACAGTTCATGGGTTCGAGCCCTGCACTGGGCTCTGTGCTGACAGCTCAGAGCCTGGAGCCTGCTTCGGATTCTCTGTCTCCTTCTCTCTCTGCCCCTCATCCATTCACACTCTCTCTTTCTCTCAAAGATAAATAAATAGTTAAAAAAATTCTAAGTACCAGTGTTAAAGAATCTGTTTCAAAGCAAGAAAGGCACTGGCATTTGTGTAGAACAATTCCTCACCGTGGACAGTCAGCATCCCTGGCCCGGGCCCACTGAATGCTGGTGGCATTCCTTAGTCACGCTTCCAAGTGCCCCCAGGGCGTGAACCCATCATCCCTGATTGGACATCCCCAAGTCTCGTGTCGATGGGATTGAACCCAGCTGTAAATGATGGGTCAGCCCATAGAAGTCGCTCTGCGCCACTCCAAATGTCCGTGTTTTCACCATCACCTCTCCAGAGACGAACAGCGTCTTATAGGCAAAGCTCATTAGATGTCCTCCCGGCCCTGCTCCAAGATCCAGAATCGGAAACTATATTCACCTGGCACTTCCTTGCTGGGCTCTCCTTCAAAGGGGAATAATGGGCTCTCTGACAGGACTTCAGGGAAGCAGAAGTCGGGGGCCCACCTGCACAGTGTGAGTCAGAGTGGTCCTGACTGACACGTTTCCCCCAGGGTCCCACATGCCCAATCCTAATCAGAGCTCCAATGGGGACAGCCAGCACATGCACAGAGACATCAAACCCTTCACCTTCTATTTGGGTGCTATGTCCTCTAAACAGCACCTCATCATTTAGGATGTGAGTGGTCAGAAGCTTCCTAAATTTCAAAACTCTCCTGGGGACAAATCAGCCTATACAAGGAAAGCTAAAACTCCACTAAGCCCACCACTCAATTTCAGAGTGTCCAAGTAGGAACGGCACGTATGCGGAGACCAGAGTGCTGCCAAAATGTGGTGTGGTCTGAAAGTCTCCCGAGGCCTCCTATTAGAAAAGGCATCTTCCGCTGACCAGCACTGTGGGCCTGAACAACCTCAGAATGGCAATTATCCCCTAATCACACTTAAAATGCAAATAGAGTCCCTGGGAGGAGGATCACGTTAATTCACGAACATATTGACTCCTTTTCACTCCTTTCCCCATTAGCATCAGTTCATTTCCCAGTTATTTTTGGGCGGCCCTCGTGGGCAGGCCTGAGTGATGTCCCCACTTGGGAGCTGGGGGCACTGGGATTCCGGGAGAGATGTAGGAACTCCGCATCTTGTCCAAGGAAGATCCCATGAATGGAGTCTCCGGAGGCTGGGAATCTTTAGCCCGAGAAAGGCAGACCGACTTGATCTCCACGGTCAGTAGTGAACGGCAAGAAGAAGGAAGACCAGCTATCCTCCATGTGGACTGCGCAGGACAGGAGGGGCCCGAGGGGTCTCAGGGAGCCTGTGATGTATGCACCCCTCACACCTAATGGTTGGAGATCCAGGAATGAGCCATCAGCCATGTGGTCTGATTTCATCCAGAACTGGGGAAAAGGTAGGCAGAGTGCTGAGTGGTCAAAACAGCATCTCTCCATCCCTCCCCACCACCCCCCCCCCCCCCGATTCGGTTTTATCGTCACAACCCCAGGAAGGTCCATCTGTGTTTCCCAACTATTTTAACTGCCTCGTTCCTATGCCTGCCTTTCACGTTTCGTACTGTACTGTGAGCAGATGAAGTGCAGCGTACTCAACATCCAGAAACTGTATAGCAAGTAGAAAAGGGTTGCCCAGCCTGTTTCACCTATGGAGACCCCAGACCCCCAGAGAGAAGTGACAGCTCTTCTAGCAATGGTCCGTTTTTTCTTCAAGGATTTTCCCTGAAACACTGCACTTATCTTTGCACGCTTCCCCCACCCACCCCCTCAGAACGCTTGAACAATTCTGCCATGTCTGTCACCCAAACTCTTCATGCGCTAGTAGGTGCCTACCCCTCCCTCTTTGTCTCCTCCCATGTCCCCATGTCAGTAGACCCACCCCTTCACCGGCCCCTGTGCAAACTCCCTGGGTCTCAGGGACTATCCCCTACACTATGAAACATCCATAATATCACACTGAAAGATCTTGCTAGCAACATCACATTTTAGCAAATGCAAAATTCTTGTGATTAAAAAAAAACAAAACAATTAAATTATAAGACCTAAAAGTAACTTTGCATTAGCTACTGGCCACTTCGGATCACACTCCAGAGGCATCTGTTCACAGTCCTCCACTGTTAGGGGAGGAGGAGTGGCCTGAGTGGCCTCAGGCTTCAAGGGCACACCCCAGTACCCTTGCTTCTGCTCGGTCCTTGCTCACCATGGACTCCCCTGGGCCGGGGGGCCCTTCTTTGTTTCCCATCTAAGTCCCACCCTCTCAGACCCAGCTCCTGCCTCCTGCCCTGGGGGAAGCTCCCTTCAACAGCCTCAGCGTACCCACCTTGTCGCATCCTGTAGCTCCTTATTCTCCTCACCACTAGGTGACACTTTGCAAAAGTTACTTTATATTATTACTTATCTATTTACATGACCGCCTAAGGGGAGCAACCAGGTCCTATAGAGTCAGTGGATCCGACTGGTAACACATCCCTACAGTCACACCAAAGTCAAAAACGTGCAAAATCAAACGACTTGTTAGGGAATTTTTAAAAACTATAAATGTAAGTTTAAAATATATTAAAACAACCACCACCTTCCCCTCTTAAATAGAAAACTCAACGGTAAAATCCCAGTATTTCAGTCATGTTGCTTATGCTGTTCTCTTCCTTCACAACCGACCACACCATCGACTGGCTTGCATCCAATGAGCAGCCAATCAAGGTTAGAGATTCCCTGCTTTCGGCTGAACTGCTAATTTCTGGGTTGTCACAGTTCTATGAGGTTAATGTGACCTTCCTTCTTCTTGTTTGAATCAGCCCTGTCATTTTTTTCTTTACTTATGGTAAAGTGCTGCAAAATATTCAAATAACACACACACACACACACACACACACACACACACACACTCTTCTGTGCAAGGACAGCAGCCATACTGCTGAAGCCCAGTGCAAGGTGGGCAGGCACCATGGATCACTCAGGATGCGGGTTCATTGGCCAATGCACAGCAGCCTGAACCAGGGGAGTGTAAGAGGAGGGTTTTTACTGGTGGGGGGATCAATGTGTAATGTACAAAATTCCCAACTTTCAGATGGTCAAGGATTGCTTTAACATACCTGTTTACTGCTCACCCCCTGTAGGGCATCATGCCTGAGGGGCCTCGATCATCAATGATCAATGAGGACAAGTCACCTTCACAGAGCAGTATCGCATCCCCCAGATCCATGGCCCGTGGCAAACCGATCCTCAGACCCACGGGCTCGAGCCCGAGACCCTGGCAGGGGGGGAGATGCTTTTGCTTACCGGCCGTGCCTCTGTATTTCCCGACTGAGAGCTTGTACCGCTCCTTGCTGGAGGCCACCTGGAAGAAATCATACACGGCATAGGCGGATTCGTTGGCTGTCTGTAGGTCCACTCTCACCTCATACCGGGTGGCAGTGCCAGTGGTGAGGTTGTGCAGCTGGTCGAGTCCTAAAAATAAAGCAGGCAATCCCAATAACCAATCAACCTACGTGTGCAAGCGCCCACCTACCAGCAGCTGAGATGTTCGGCACCAAAAGTCACCTTAGCCTTCACCACCTCTGCTAATGGGCACTTCCTCACGCTATCTCTTTTGGGGGACCCATTTTCTCATCCTGTTATCTCTCTGGCACAGCCATATTAACGAGTGTGGAAACCACGTCCTGTGAGAAAGAGCGGTGGAGGGTAATCACTGGTGAACCTGCCCCCACACTCCTTCTCTCTAAAGTAGATGCACTTCTACTTATCATCCCCTTATCTCACCAAGCAGAAGAGGGCATCAGATGCCACCGTAAGGTCTCTGGAGGAATTTTGCACCAAGAAAACCACATCATCACCTACTCTACCTGACACTGGGTCTCCAGATTATGATTTTTTCATTCTCCATTTCCCAGTGGGTGCTTTCAGCTAGTTCACTCTCTATGAGCATCTGCTCCAGAAAAGAGCAGAAGAGAAGGGGAAAAAACAATCCCCATAATGATGGGCATTACTAGTAGAATTTCAGGGACTACTGGTATGACCTCCCAATAATAGCCCAGAATCCCAATCAGTCAACTATTTTTCTACTATGGTTTCTAAGATGTGCAGGCTCCAGGCAGATCCTGTGGAGCTCAGATACAGCATAAAGACCACCTGTGACAGCCACACCCACTCACAATCCCAGCACTTGAGAACCTTCCTAGCAACATGTCCCCACCAACACCTTGGTGGGTAGGTTCCTCAGGGTATCCTGTCCCTGTCACTGAAACATCTTCCTGAACGTGGGGAGCCTTCACAAGCCACCCAAGCAGCTTTTGAAGGGAGATGTCCCTTCCACAGCACAGCCCTTCCGGAATCTCAGAGTTCATACCAAGCCAGAACTCCTTCATGGGGTCCCCAAAGCCTTCCACGTAGGTCCGCCAACGCTTGAAGAAATCCAGCTGTCCAGTGTTGCGCCTTTGGAAGACCTGCAAAGGGAGATGGACTTTTCACTCTGACGCACTTGGACAGATGTCACTGAGTGAAGGAGGGCAGCAGCTTGGACTGGGGCTGCCCCGAGGTCAGACAGAAGCAGAGAGAAGGTCACACTGATGGATGTGGTGACAGGTTGAAAGTGGAACTGAAAGAGAAGTCAGGAGTGATTCTTGTGGTTTGGGCTTGCGGCACTGGGTGGCTGTTCCCTCAGCTACTGGCGGAGATGGGGGCTCTGAGAGAAGACAGGTTCTGCAGGTGCATCACGAGCTCACTTGGGACAAGGTAAGTGAGGGTCACCCCCAAGGTGCCCTGGCGAATGGGGAGGCCATAGTGGCAGATGAGTGAAGGACTAGGGTTCTGAAGAGAGATCTAGGCCAGACTTACAAAGGTAAGCATGTGTCTCAGATGATGCTAAGTGCCCACCAAGACCCATTTCACTTTCCTCTCCCCAAAAACACAGGGAATCTTCCTTCTCCAGGCTCCCTTGCAGTTAAGCTGGAGCCATGTGACTCATTCTAGCCAAAGGGCCGTAAGTGGGAGTGCAGGAGGGCAGGAGGGCTCTCCATGCTCCCTCTTCCATTGCCATGCATCACGGGGCCTTGGTGAAGGCCACATGACCACAGAGCAGAGCCATGAGCTGGAATCAGCCTGAATCCTGAGTCACCACTTAGAAGTGACTGCCAAACCCCCAGAAGATTGCACACATGGGAAGAAACTTTTTATGTCTCAAATCATTGGAATCTGGTGGTGGTGTTTACTGCAGCAAGGCCTGCTCTATCCTAATGAATACAGAAAGCCACGGGGACACAGATCGTAAAGTGGAGCCACTGGAGAGGATGAGATGACCTGGGAAGAAAGAGTACCTAAAAAGAGAAAAGGGCCTAGAATCAAGACTCGGGGACCACCAATACGCAGCAGCCAGGTGCAGAAGGATGTGTTCATTAAGGAGAACGTTCATGAAGGACAATTAGGAAAGCATGGAACCACAAAGACCACAGAGAGAAAAGTGTGGCCGAATAGTGTCAACGGCAGGTAAGCAGTCAAGGGACACGTGGCCTAAGGAACATGTCCATAGAATTTAGTGAGACAGAAGTCGTGAGTGACTCTAGCAAAGGCTGCACTGGAGACAGACAAGGGCAGAAGCCAAAATGGAGTGGGCTGAAGAGTGAGTGGGAAGTGAGAAAATGGAGACAGACTTGGGTACTATTTCATGAAAATATGTGCTGCCTTCTTTTCAAAATCTCCTCTCTTTGGGGAAGGAAGGCAGTTCCTGTCAGAGTAAACTGGACTCGTTTATATGAGGTAAACCTGAAAAGGAGCTACAAGCTAAACACACCTGTATATCCTACGAGAAGTGATACTAATTGATGTCATTCCTCGTGACCTTGAAAGACAGCCATGCTAACCGCCATCCTAGCTAACCTCAGAAATGATTCTGGAATTCTGGAAGGCTGGAATGGCATCTTTGTCTCCACCTACTTTCCTCTGTAGTCATTCGAATACAGAAGCCCCAACACAAAACCCCATCTCCCTCCTTTCCACCATGCTTCATAGCGGGTTCCTTGACGTGAAACACAATTATTTTGAATTTGGTAAGGTACACCTCCTAATATTTCTGTGTTCTTTACATTTTTTCTGGGAGGGAGGGAGAACAGAACAGGGGTCCCGCAACAGTGCTGAAATCTCCTCATGGGAGCTAACGTTTAACTCCTTCTGAAGCACCAACCCACCCCTGCTGGCCCAGGAAGCCCTGAACTAGGGCATCAAATGGCGGGAGAGCCCTGGGCTCTGAGGCAGACCATGGCCACTGCCTGGCCAGGGGCTGGTGAGTCAGTCATCTCTATCACTGAGCCTCGGTCGGTCAGCTTGGTGACAAACAGGGTTAGAAGCGGGAAGGAAGTGTTTATCTCACAGGTGCTAGGAGAACTCAATGAAATGGCAAGTGTAAAAACATTCTACAATACCCAGGTGCTGAGCAGGACTTAGGGAACGATCGGGCCCATAATTACATACTGCATTAACACTGTTGTTCCTGTCCCCTTTTGTCCTTATTTTAGAGACTGTCACTCCTCTCTTGGCTCCCTTCATTTCTTTACTTACTGACCCACTTGTGTAACTACCATTTACTGAGCATTTTGTTAAGGGCTGGATACAGGGCGAGTATACATGATGCCATTTTACGGATGTGAAAGTTCAGAAAAGCAATTAGCCAGATTAAATAATAATCAGCTTATTATGTAATGACTGATGCAAGGATAAAACATTGATCTCATCTTTTATAAGAACATTTGAAAATACCAGCTTTTACGGAGTCTATTTTCCAAAAATCATTTCTTAAGATTCTGGGGAGCTAACTGGTCATTTCCTAGCATGGTGCCTGTTCCAGTACCTTCCCAGGGACACTTCCTATACCATGGACAGTGGAATCCCAGGGCAGAAGTGTTACCAATGTTTGGTTCCTTGTACACCGGGTCAAATTACATTCCCACTAACATAATTAGTTATAGTACAAGATCAGGCTCAAATTTGATTCTGCCTTCCTAGGAGAGATGCATTACAAAGGCATTCTCCAATCAATGAATAGAGTACCTAAGCATGATAGGGGTTTTTCCCACTGATATATATTTGTATATACATATATGTTTAATAATGTTAATAATGTAAATAATGTTACTAATGTAAATATATATACATATATATTTAATAATGTTTCAGCTTAGTGAGGAAAACTCCAGAAAAATGGTTCCGATGCTCTCTCCATCGCCATTTAGACCCAGCTCTGCCCTTACTACCTGTGTCCTTCGGCAACTTAGTGAACCTTGACAAGCCTCACTTTTCTAAACTATTAGATCAAGATGTTAATAGCCCATTTGTCATTCTCTTAAACTGAGGCTGTAGCAAGATCATTAATCATGATAAATCATGAAAGTGTGAAGGCCAGAGACTGGCACATACTGATACAAGTTATTATTATATCTCAATAAATGTTAGTTTGCATTTTATTGTGTCAGATTCCAAATGAACTGACCCACCATGAGCATTTGCACATCTTGATCAGGCAGCGTGACTGGACTCCCAGAGAATCTAGTCCATTCCCCTTCTATGAGATGAAAACACCTGATGGTGGACTGTCTGGGATAACAAGAGCCACTCAGCAAAGAAGTCTCAAGGCGGGCAACATGTCTCAAGACAGAACTGTCACTGCACTCTAGAACTTACTCAACGTCCTGACTCAATTGGGAGAAAAAAATGAAAATCTCATTTAATTGCCTGTGGAAATAGCTTCTCATGTAGTCCTTAAGACTTGCAAGATGGAGAACAAAGACGGAAATACCTGAGGCACCTAAGTGCTCCTGGATTGTCTTCATCCTGGCCTGCCTCCTGTGGTATCAGCTACCACGGGGTAGAGTTCTTCAGGCCTCTTAAACATAAGGAGTTCCTGCTGCCCCATGGAGGAAAATTTCCTTAAAAGGATTTTAGAAGCTCAATTTAAAAGAGCCACGTACTGAGGTCATCTCTCAGTGACAAAAGATCCTTGAACCCCAAATCAGGGACAACGCCAGTAAAAGATTTGGTGCAGAAGTGCTCAGGACTCCGCATGTGATCGCTTTGAAGAGGGCCCTACAGAATCTCAGTTCGTGTATTATCTTCAGGAGTCTGGGTCAGAACACAAGACTTGGGAGGGGGTGAAGGATTAGTTCACCGGTATTGGTTAGAACATAGAGGGATTTTATTACTTCTGGAATTGACCTCAGTTTCCTGGTAAGGGTCCTTGGCATGAGCAGGCCCCAGAAGGCAAGCTCCTTGAGAGCAGGGATTCACTACTGGTTCTTGAGTATATAAAACAGTGCTTGACACACAATAGGCACACAATAAGTAATTTTGGAAAAAATCTTGGGGATTCCCAGGTGGACACACCGGCAGGTATCTTTCTAGAGGTTGCCCTAGACAAACGTCTCCTTCCCGATGGGAGGCTGGCTTTCAAAAAGGCCACACTAGACAACACAAACATTCTGCCAATGGTCAGTTATGGACACAGACGCAGGATACTGGCTTCAGGCCTGAAGAGACCCGACGCTGACAACCGTGCTGATGCAAAGCAGCAGGGACAGCTCAATGGCTCTGCTCAGGTAGAAAACCCTCCCGTGCTACAAGGTGTTCGGTTATTTTTACAAATCAATCAGGAATTTCTCCCATCCAATCCAGTTCCTGCCTTTCAGCCATCAGATGCAGCTGTGCGGATAATAAGTTTTCTTCACTGCTGCTTAGCGGATGGTATCATTTTACCCGTGGCTGCTCAAGTGTCTTTGGTCTCCCAGGCCCCTGAGCGAACGTGTAAATGAATATAGTCTGAGCACTAGGAGATCATGCTTTCTCCTTCCCAGAGTGAGCTCCGGATGCACAGCAGGTTAAGGCCGCATGCTGGTCTGGAGTAGTGAGAGCCTCTAGCTGTTCAGGCACTGGGAGAAGGGGGTGGGGGGAGAAGGAAGGATCAGATCGAAACCCTCAGAGACAGCTCATCATATAATTGGATCAGGCTGATGCAATCAAAGTAGGTGCCATGTGGTGGGAGCAGACAACGGCCGGAGGGAATAAACCTCCACACAGAAGGACCATCAGCACGTTGCCAAGTTGCCCTCTTTCAGGCTTTAGCCTTCAAAGCAAAGTCCCCAAGGCCTCGCTTCTGACCTGCACAGCAGGATGCAGAGCCTGGACAAAGGGCTTCAATCCAGAGGCCCAAGGCCCAGGGAGGTCATGCGTTTCCATGGCGGATGGCCTTAGAGGACCCACAGGGAAGGCCAATGATCTGGAAGGCTGGAGTCCTGAAATCTGGCCCCAACTCTTGTCATTAATTCTTATGAAGGGCCAAGATACTTCTCCTTGTGGCCTCAATTTACCTATCTATAAACTAGAAATAATAACCACTGTCACTTACTTGAAAGATTTTGTGTGAGAGTCTCGTTTATGAGAGTGCTTTGAAGAGAATAAAATGTAGCATTATACAAACATAGAGGGCATTATTAGATGCTGATAAACCCACAAGCCCCCACAATCGTTAACCTTAGTTTAACTGAGCCTGCTCTATCCTGGCCATGAAGTACTTCAGGCTCTATTCTTTTTTTTTTTTTTTTTTTTTTTTTTTTTTTTTTAATTAATGTATTTTGAGAGAGAAAGTGAGAGGGGAGGGCCAAGGAGAGGGAGAGAGAGGGAGAGAGACAGACAGACAGACAGAGAGAGAGAGGGAGGGAGGGAGAGGGAGGGAGGGAGAGAGAGAGAGAGAGAGAGAGAGAGAGAGAGAGAGAGAGAGAATCTCAAGCACGGCCCACACTGTCAGCGTGGAGCCTGATGTAAGCCTCGAACTTACCAACCGTGAGATCATGACTTGAGCCAAAATCAAGAGTCGGAGGCTAGAGGCACCTGAGTGGCTCAGTCAATTAAGCGTCCAACTTCCATTCAGGTCATGATCTCACAGTTCCTGAGTTTGAGCCCCACATCGGGTCCTGTGCTGACAGTTCAGAGCCTGGAACCTACTTCGAATTGTCTCTCCCTCTCTCTCTGCCCCTCCCCAGCTCGCTCTCTCTCTCTCTCTCTCTCTCTCTCAAAAATAAATAAACATTTAGGAAAAATTACAAAAAAACAGTTGGAGGCTTCATTGACTGAGCCACCCAGGCGCCCCCTTCAGGCTCTATCCTTACAGCCTGGGGCGGGGGAATCGGAGAACAAAAACAAGCCACCCAGCCCCTCCCTCCCGTGGATAAAGACTCACAATCCAGCCACCTCCGTCCGTGTCCATATCACAGTACACCTGCAGGGGCCGGCTGGCATCACCATGCAGGTAGATGGTATATAGACCGCTGGCGACATTGCTGTTCTGCTGAACTTGACTGCAGTCGGAAGGATGTGGAAAACGGGCGCCAACTGGGAGTCGAGCAGAAAGGTAGCGTCGTTAGGCGAAGGGCAAGGAAGAAGTAGGGGGGCTGGTCCCTTATTTCCAGATGATTTATTTTGTTCAGAAATTATTTCATAACCTCCTACTACTTTGCTTCTTCCGACCCTTCGCAAATATCTTATTTTTCTCATTCACCCTGCTCTCATCAAACCCTTCAAATGTAGTAGAAATAAGGTCAAGTTTACATCACTTCCTACCCTGATGCCCTCAAAACGACATTCTGTTCTGCTTCCCTCTTCAGTCTTTCTACCATGAGATCAATTTTGTTTGAACCCATAACCCTATTGCCCCGTTTCCAGAGAAATCCATCACTCTGTCCACTCGCTCCTCCTTGGACAGCTTTCTTGGCTGTCCGATGCTTGTCCTCTACCACATTCTCGTTCAGAGAACATTACCTGTGGAAAGGGTGGTAGATACACTCCTGCTCCGGCGATCACCCTTAAAGGCAACCAAGGAGACTGGGTAGGCGATGCCCTGCTCAAGGCCTTGCAACTCAAGTCTCTCGTTCCCTCTTCCAAGCTGTACCTCCTACCAAACAAAGGAGACAGTAGACAGTCACTCAGCGTGTCACCCCCAGCACCCTAGCTGTCAACGGCTTTCCCTGGTGCTAATGACAGGAGCTCTCTGAGAGCACAGTGTTTGGTTTCTTTCAGGGCTTAGTGACGCCCAGAATACAGGTGGGTCCCAGCAGCTTCCCTGGGGGGCGGCGCCATGGAGATTCAGCCCTGCTGGAGTGCTAGCACAGAAATGGCACCACGGACCGCCCTGGAGGGGCACCCACCAGGTCTCCTGGGACCCTCTGCCTCCAGGTACATGCTGGAACACGAACTACACCCACCAAGGCCAGCGGTGCTGGGCTGAGGAGCTAATAAGGGCGATTAAAGTGACTGCTGATAACTGTGCAGCAGGGCCACTGTTGGCCTTTCAGGAAACGTCCTTCTGAACCTATCTTATTTCCTCTACAGACATAGGGCTAACTTTCCTTGAAGCACTGTCATAAGCAACCATTAAGATAATGAACAAATCAAAGTGCCCTTCCTTTCCCTCTTCGTCCCTTCTCTCTCGCCAACAAGAAAGAGGAAGAATTTTCCATTGGAACAAGCTACAAAAACTTGCTGGCCTTCAGATTCCAGGTGGGAGGGATAACTCCTGAAAGAAGGTTTAATCAATCCATTCAATAAATATTTAGTGAGCATGTCTTGTGTGCCAGGTTGTAAGCACGTTAGATACAATGATAGATACAACAGACAAATTGTCCTTGGAGCGAACGTTTCCTGAGAAAGACAACAGAACAAAATAACATGGGGCGGATGTGCAGCCCGCAAATACTCAATGGATAGCGAGGAGAAGGCACAAAAGTTAGTCCTCTAAAACGAGGCCACACGTACGATGTCGGCAGACAACTGTGTGCAGCAGCTTCGCTAACACAGCAGATGATCAGTAAGGCTCAACTCATTTCTTAGCCGGTGGCCATGACACCAGCGATCAAGCCGGTGGGCCCGGGTCAGTTGCTTCATTTGGAGGCTGGGCATGGGTACCAAGAGAAAAAGCAAGAAGTATCCAGTACCTTAACGGTGCCATCTGGGAGTTGGTAGGTCAGAATGTAGCCATCGATCTGAGCAGAGGGGGGCATCCAGGTCAACACCCCCCCGGACTGTGTAACAGCAGATGGACGAAGGTTTTTGGGAGGGTCGATGTCTGTATACAGAAAGTCAGGTAATTATTATTAGTCGGTATTTCTGCAACCGAGGCAAGATCATTTCTGATGTGTTAACATACTTTCTACCAACTTATCCTTCCCATGGCAGCAGGCAGTTCCCAGGCAGTTCCTCCCCGACAGCAGGCATGGTCTCTGCTCTTCCTTGCCACCAGCCCCTTATGACCTTGGTTTCTAAAAGCACACTCCAGGGGCACCTGGGTGGCGCAGTTGGTTGAGCATCTGACTTCAGCTCAGGTCACGATCTTGCGATCCGTGAGTTTGAGCCCCGCGTTGGGCTCTGTGCTGACAGCTGGGACCCTGGAACCTGCTTCGGACTCTGTATCTCCCTCTCTCTCTGCCCCTCCCCTGCTCACGCCGTGTCTCTCAAAAAAGGAATAAATGTTTAAAAAATTTTTTTTAATAAAAGCACATTCCACACCCGCTGAGGACAAGGGGACTAAGGAAGAGGGGAGTGGGTAGGGCCGAGACAGTGCATCTGTGCTCCCAGGTTCCCCACAGATTCTCCAAGAGTGGTGGGTATGAACAATCCAGGTCATCCAGATCAGCAGGCAGATTCCCAGCGACAGCAGGGCTCCCGAAGTGACCCGGAGTGCGGATCTGAGAGGAACCTGTGCACAGAAACCACGTGTCCCGGCAAACACCTACCTGGAAAGATGACCACAGAGCTGCCCGCCCCCCACCCCACGGCTGGCACTGGGAAACCACCCAAGACTTTACACACAGCCCTGGAGAAGGAGCATGCCCCCTAAATCAGAGATACCGACCCACCAGCAGAATGGGGGCTTGCGACAAACATTAAGTTGGCGTAGAGATTTAAAGTTCTATTTCCTACCTAACTAAACATATGGCCTTAGATGCACACCCTGTACAGAAAGCATGGAGAAGGTGTGATGGTGGTGGTCTTGTGCAAAGGAGAGGAAGAGAGAGAGGGAAGAAGAGGCAGAGAAAAAGCAGAGCCTTCCTTGTGGCTCTGAACGTGCGATGGGGAGGGAGGGGAGGGGGAGGAGTACACACTCTGGAGACCGGGAAACCAAAACTCAGCAAGAATTCTAGTCAAAACCATATTAATTGGTCACATGGCTCGTTTTTTTAAACCCAATAAGATATTGAATGAAAAATTTCCATTTTGAAAAATCATCACAGAGGGTGATTTTAATTTAGAAGTTCCCAAAAAAGATGTCTCCAGGCTATTTTCTCCTCAGTAGCATTTCGGCCGAGAATGGAATTGCAATGTTTTAATAGAAATCAGGCAGCTGTTGTTTTGAATTAGGATGTTTTGACAAATTTTGAGTTTCTGTAATATCAGCTCGGTTTGACTTTCTAAAGTGTAACATCTGGCATGGATTTTATTCTTTCCATCACACTACAGAACTAAATTTCCTGCTTCCAAACATCAAAGCAAAACCTTAACTATTTAAATATCTTAAGCTGGCCTCTGCTACGTCTTTGACTGCCCACCAATCCCCTGGTTATGGACTTGAGATGTCTTAATTACTTCCACATTTCTGTGAAGTACAAAGATGGTAATATTGTTGTCTTGTTGTCTTTTTTAATTATTATTTAAGAGAGAGAGAGAGAGCGAGAGCGAGCGCATGCAAGCACAGGAGGGGCAGAGGGAGAGAGAGAATCCAAAGCAGGCTCTGTGCTGTCAGCTCAGAGCCTGGAGCAGGGCTCTCGATCCCACAACCCTGGGATCATGACCCGAGCCAAAATCAAGAGTTGGACACTCAACCCCCTGAGCCACTAAGGCACCCCTTATTGTCTTTAAAAATGGGAAGAGTGAGAGGCACTTGGGTGGCTCAGTGGGTTAGGTGTCCAACTTCAGCTCGGGTCATGATCTCATGGCTCGTGAGTTCGAGCCCCGTGTCGGGCTCTGTGCTGACAGCTGAGAGCCTGGAGCCTGCTTCAGATTCTCTCTCCCCCCCTCCCCCTCTCTCTCTCTGCCCCTCTTCCATTCATGCTTTGTCTCTCTCTCAAAAATAAACATTAATTTTTTTTAAATGGGAACAGTGAAGCAAAGAGAAGATAATGAAGGAACAGAGGGAGAAAGGAACGAGGGCAACAGAGAGAGGAGAGAGGAGAGAGGGAGGGAGGGTAAAGGAAAGAAGGAAGGAGGGAGGGACTGGCTGCCTCTGGGGAACAGCATTGACTATTAAGGAGTCTGGGCTGTACAAGAGTTTTTCTTTCTACGTGTTCCTTTGAATAGTTTGAATTTTTTTTTTTACTGTAAGTATACTTTACTCTTTTAATTAAAAAATCCTGCTAATTGTAACTTATAAGGAAATTCAAGGCACCTCTAACTCCAGTGGCCACACATGGTGTCCCCCGCCACAAAGGGGATGGCCAGCCCTTGCCCAGATGTCCAAAGAGACCCGAGGACATCAGGGTGGGCACAGGGAGTCTCTCGGTCCCTGTGAGGCCCCACCACACATGCAAAACACAACAGCCCAGGCCCCTCTGATCACTAACTGGAAAGGGACAGTGAGGGAGAAAGACACTTCACCACCGCCCCCAACCCGGCACGTGGACACAGAAGCGCTACGTTGCCTCCCTCTTCTCCAAACTGGAGCCGAGGCCCGCCAGGTTCTAACATCCAGGTGGAGAGCCTGGGAGCTGGGCAGGGTGGAGGACAAGCTGACGGAGGCCCCGCACAACCACCCGGAAAAGCCACACACTTCCACTTTCACACTGCCTCCTCTACACTCTTCTTTTTTTTTTTTTTTTGAAGTTCATTTATTTTGAAAGAGAGAGAGAGTGCACAGCAGTGGAAGCAAGGCACAGAGAGAGGGAGAGAATCGCAAGCAGGCTCTGCGCTTCCAGCACAGAGCCCAACGTGGCTTGAACTCCTGAACCACGAGATCACGACCTGAGCCTAAATCATGAGTCGGACACTTAACCCACTGAGCCACCCAGGCACCCGTCCTCTACACTCTTCTCAATCAGAGCCCTCGTATCCGCGTAAGGTAAAGAAGGAACCACTCTGAGGCATGTCCTCAGGTGAAACAACAGCCTTCCCTACTCCCCTTTGCACCCCTAGGTACAGACGATGACTGCTCTGGTGGGTGTGCAGGGTCCCCGGTCCCAGGCCTTTACAGTACCTGTCAGGGCCGTGGTGTCCACCTTCTTGCTCTCCCGGGCCCCCTTCTGGGCCCACACCTGGACCGTGTACTCCACGCCCGGCCTCAGGCCCGTCAGCACGGCGCTGCTCTGCTCCTTCCCCACCGACACCTCCCCGGTGTCTCCATTGGCGGACGTGTAGCGCACCATGTACCTGTCGATGACGGCCTGCACCGGGTCCCAGGAGACGGTGGCCGTGTTCTCCGTCACCCGGTCGGTCACCAGGTTTTGGGGGCTGTCAATGTCTTTTGAAAAAGGAAAGGCTGCATTTTAGAGCCAAGGGAGACCATCCTACCTCCCGACCCTGTCTCTAGGAGCTCTCCATTCAAGTTATCTTTAATAATGATCCAATTCCATCGCAACCAGGAGTGAAAGGCCCCTGGTTTCCATTTTCCAGGGAAACAAACCACTGGACATTAATATGAAAATTTTCTCCCTAGCTTCCACAAAAATAACAATAAAAGTCTCCCGAACAAGACAAGCCACCCAAACTGCTGTTCGCACAACCTCTTCTTGTTATCTCCACATTATGTGGTGGTTTTGTTTTACAGAGTCTCAGAGCTGAGAGGTCAGATCTTCTCACCTTCTTGTCTCTTACAAAAGGGGAAGAGAATGGAGGTCCAGAGGAATGAAAAGGCTCGCCCAAGATCCTGCCATTTCCCTGTGTTAAAACGCAGACAAACCCCTCTCTGCTCTGAACTTTGAAGCCTCCCGCCTTCTAAAGGACTCTGCTCCTTTTCATCTGCCCTCTCTCCAGCACCATCAGCCTCTCCCACTCTCCCGCCCCTCTGCACGCCTCAGCCCACGGACTTCTCGGGAGAGCGGTCTGCATGCCTCCACTATCAGTCCGCCCCTCACATCCACTCCTCGAGCAGTGAAGTTTGGCAATTTTTGACACCACGTCACCGACCCCACTAGTATAGGTCACCACCGACTCTGCACTGCCAGATCCGACGGACGCTCGCCACCCCCAGAGGCGTTTGGCAGAGCTGATCCACTCCCTCTGTCTTAAATGCTCTCGGCTCTTGACTGGCGTGACTACACCCTCCTCTGGTTTTCTCCTAACTGCCCGACCCCTTCTCCATCTCCTTTGTCGGCAACCTGGAAACATGGGGCACCAAGGCCCCCGTCCTCCTCTCTACACTTCTCCCTAAGCGAACCCATCCACGTCCGTGGCTCTGAACGCCAACGAATGCTCTCGGCTCCCTGATACACGAGCCCCTGGCTTGCATCCACAACCATATGCCCAGCACAGCACCTAGCCTATGTTGGACGTTCGACCAATATTTGTAGGATCAATGAATAAATCAATTAGCCAAGGAATCGCACAAGTTTCTTCAGCTTAAATGTCTAAAAGTCTTAACATCACCCCCCCCACACCGAGCCTATTTATCTCTGAGCCTCCCCTCTCCAAAAATGATGCCCCAACCTTCCATGTTGCTCAAGCCAGAAACCCCGGTCTTACCTGATTCATTTTCTTCCTGCCCCACACCTCATCCATCAACAAATACTGCCATTTATAACTCCAAAATATGTGCTCAGATACTCCCTCTCCTCTTTCCCAATGGCCATCATCACCTCTTGCCCGGATTTTACACTAGAGTCTTCATTAACCCTCCTAACACTACCCTTGTCACGTCCTCTGTTTATTCTCTTCACTGCGGCCTGAATAAACTGTTTTAAACAAATATGACATCGTGTTGCTCTTCTTCTAACAAATGTAACCTTCCTTCAGGCACGTGGGGTCCTGTGTGAGTGACCCTGCCTCCTTCCCACCCGCCCCACGTCACCTCCTCTCTCGCCCTCTGCACTCCAGCAACACCAGCCCCCTTGCGGTCCCGTGTCCATCTCAGCTGCTGCAGCTTAGGGCCGTCAGGTGCACTCTTCCCTCAGCCAGATGCGGCTAGTTTTCTCCAATAGCCATCCTCCCCTTCTTCCATAAGCATACTGTCCAGCGGATCTCTCTGTAATGATGGAAGTACTCTGCCCTGTCCAATACAGTGGCCATTAGAAACGTGGCTCTGGACCATCTGAAATGTGGTGAGTCCAACTTTGAAAATAATTTAGTTGCTTTTAATTAATTAAAATTTAAGCTGCCACAGGCAGCCAGGGGCTACTGAATTGGAGAGGACGGTCTAACAGAAGGGTAAGGTGGGCACATGATCACCCAGCTGAAGACTCCGTTTCCCAGCCTTTCCTGTAGTGAGGTCTGGCACCGTGCCTTGGGTCTGGCCAGTGGAACACGAGAAGAACTAAAGGACGCGTGCAGTGTTCCAGTCGTGTCCTTCCCTTTCCCAGGTCCCTTTCCACTTCTGGAATGAGGACAGATGACCACACAGACGAAGGCAACCCCCTAGGGATGACGGAACACAATACCGAAGGAGCCGGGGTCTCCTGTGCCGTGGGGCTACCTCATCAGCCCTGGGCCACTTCTACTCTGCCCACTCCACAAGAGAAGAGTAAGCTTCTTTCTTGTTTAAGGATATGTTATTTGGATGTTTCTGTCTATATGTATCTTAACCAGGATTCGTTCCATCCCGTCTAAGAAACACCCCTACCCTGCTATTCTTTATACCTGTGCCAGGTACATCTCCTTCATAGAACTTATCATAATTATAGTTACAAGTTGGTTTCCTTGTTGATTGTCTTTCCCACTGGACTGCAAGACAGCAGGAATCATATCTGTTTTGGTGCCACTGGCCTTTGGTGCCACTGGCCTTTGGAAAATGCTCACCAAAACTTAGCGTAGGCCGAAATGAACACAGAGCTCCAACCTCCAAGGAAACACTTATTCCTCTAAACTACACACCATCTAGGGGCGCCTGGGTGGCTCAGTCGGTTAAGCGTCCGACTTCGGCTCAGGTCATGATCTCGCAGTCCGTGAGTTCAAGCCCCGTGTCAGGCTCTGTGCTGACTGCTCAGAGCCTGGAGCCTGTTTCAGATTCTGTGTCTCCCTCTCTCTCTGACCCTCCCCCGTTCATGCTCTGTCTCTCTCTGTCTCAAAAATAAAATAAAAACGTTAAAAAAAAAAATTAAACTACACACCATCTATTAAGGCAAACCCACAGAAAACAGCTTTGCCACAAAACAGTTCTCTAATCCAGTGCTTTTTCAGAATTTTATGTTGTTTTTACCATTCAGTAATTTTTTATCACTGAGAAGCAGAGCTGTTAAAACACAAGCCTGGGGAAAGAGTTTTAAGACCTTCACAGGACTGTTCAGTATGTACCCCATAACTATGCTTTGATTTTTTTTTTTTTTTTTTTTTTTTTTTTTTTTTTTTTTGGTACGGGAATGAGGTTTTTTCCAACAAACCTGCCTAAAACAGTCCCTGAGTCACAGACCCAAAAGGCAGCAGTGGTATAATTCAGCAGCAGCATCAACTCCTAGTGATGACCCCAGTTTCTGTTCTCCTCCCTCCTGTTACCTGTGGGGGCCATGGTGTCCGCCTTCTTGCTCTCCCGGGCCCCCTTCTGGGCCCACACCTGGACCGTGTACTCCACGCCCGGCCTCAGGCCCGTCAGCACGGCGCTGCTCTGCTCCTTCCCCACTGGCACCTCCCCGGTGTCTCCATTGGCAGACGTGTAGCGCACCATGTACCTGTCGATGACGGCCTGCACCGGGTCCCAGGAGACGGTGGCCGTGTTCTCCGTCACCCGGTCGGTCACCAGGTTTTGGGGGCTGTCAATGTCTAAAAGGAAAAGTACTCATCAACGTGCACTAGTTATAGGCCACAGAGTGCAGAAACTCACATCGTTTTGCTTGGAATGAGGCCCTTTCATGTTACGTGGTCTTTCCGTCACCTACGCTCTAACTGCTTCACTAACGTATGTCTTCTCTAACCAGACAGAGTTGGGCTCCTCAAGCAGAAAGCACAGTAAACCAAAATCTGCAAATCTACACTATTACCTTTACCAAGAGTATAACAAAACAAATCTCATTATTGATTTGGGAAGCGTATATCAAACTCCCACTATGTGCAAGGCATGGTGTTATGTGGCATTCAGGGTTCAGCTGAAGACACAGTCCATGCTCACAAGCAGTAATCATTTTGTTTCTAGCATCATGTCAATGGAGACTTCTGATCTCATCCAAGATGATTCTAATAACTAGATGCAAATATCGGCTCCTAGAGGAAGAGGGCAGCGACCATATCTCCTCTGGGTTGCCACAGCCTCGTGGAGAACACAGCACATGGTAAATGCTCAACACACATTGCTGAGTGGATCAGCCAAATGAAGACCAGTTTTAATATGCTTTACACATCATAGATGCACTTGTAACGCTGGTTGGCTGGTTAAATCACTACAGAAATACGGCCAAACATCTCTTTCCCAATAAAATTAAAATATAACATATAAGTTACCCTTATCCTCAAAACCAGATTATCATGATTCATTCATGCTAAAGCACACCACATAGATCAACTTGCTCTGGTAGATGTAAAGTCTATTTTATAAAGTTGAGTTATCAAAATATTATTTAATAATATTAACAACATTTGATTTTCATTTTCTCCTCCCACTCAAAACACAAGGACAGACCCTTAATGCTGTCCACAGTGAAATATCCACGCACTCAGAGCAGGAGCAGCTGGACACGACCATCCAATCACGGCAAAACTGCACTTTGGAAACTGCCACAGGGGACTGACTTGTAAGGAAACCAGTTAAAGGGACGTGAGAGGTGGTGTGTGCAGTCTCTTATGAAAGGACACTATTCTGCTCTTCTATAAGTCATTGATTCTTCCAGGGTCAAACAGGAAAACAACTCTTGACCAGCCACAGGCTTAGGCCTTACATTCTCAAAGAACAAGGCTCCATTACCTGTCGGGGCCATGGTGTCCGCCTTCTTGCTCTCCCGGGCCCCCTTCTGGGCCCACACCTGGACCGTGTACTCCACGCCCGGCCTCAGGCCCGTCAGCACGGCGCTGCTCTGCTCCTTCCCCACCGGCACCTCCCCGGTGTCTCCATCGGCAGACGTGTAGCGCACCATGTACCTGTCGATGACGGCCTGCACCGGGTCCCAGGAGACGGTGGCCGTGTTCTCTGTCACCCGGTCGGTCACCAGGTTTTGGGGGCTGTCAATGTCTTTAAAAAAGATATTTGGAAAGCCTAAGCTTTGAAGCCAT